TCAGAGAAGGATTAAGTTTGAATTCCTTGGTTGTGAGAAGAATCGGGCATATTTATAGGGGTTCAGAATAGTTGCTATGACATGCTTCTCTCTCCCCATCCCCAATCTACTCGTCCCTCGAATTCAAACATATACAGCCCCTGGCTCCAATCCAGGAAAAATGCTGTCCTGTATGCATTTTTCCTCTTAGGCTGTGGTCATACAACACGCGTTAGAATGTTACATCTAATGAACTGATTGTACGATACCGTATATTAAGCTAAATGTGGTCAATTTTAGCCTTTACTAGGGTTGATGGGGTTGTTGTTGTTGTTTTGGCCACTTGCCATATGCAAACACGGACTTTTTGATTAAGATAAGGTAAAGGTTTCACTCGCACATATGTGCTAGTTGTTCCTAGGGGGTGGTGCTCATCTCCGTTTCAAAGCCAAACAGCCAGTGCTGTCCAAAGACGTCTCTGTGGTCATGTGGCCGGCATGACTAAACACCAAAGGCGCACAGAACGTTGTTACCTTCCCATCAAAGGTGGTTCCTATTTTTCTACTGGCATTTTGACGTACTTTCAAATTGCTAGGTTGGCAGAAGCAGAGACAAGAAATGGGAGCTCACTCCGTTATGCAGCGCTAGGGATTCAAACCATTGAACTGCCAACCTTTCTGATCGACAAGCTCAGGGTCTTAGTCACTGAGCCATCTTATCCCACTTTTGATTAGTTTATGGTTAAGTGTCTTATCTAAACCTGGAAAATGGGCTAGTTAAGTAATCAGATTAAGCAGGTTGTGAGAATGTAGGTTTAAGATAGCAGGAGCTGAGGTGTTATCTCATCCAATATTAGCTTTAAACAATAGCAAAATATAGTACATTTTAATCAGTATTGCTCTTTGTTTATCGAAGTACAAATACTCATGTAAATTTTAAACTAGTTTTAAGTACATACATAAACAATGTTGGTTTTGTGAGAGTTCTAGCTGTGCTAGAAATCTAGTTTCCTTTTAAAAGAATGAATGCAATGTTATTGTCTCAACTTTTCTGCAAAACACAGGAAGCCCTTAATTTTGGGACAGAGTTCCCATCCAATAATACTATGGATCTTCTCAGTTTCTTATGAAAGATTAGCATCGCCCCTGTCTATCTTCCTCCCCCGCTCCCATTCCGCTCTGCCAGGTCTACTCACTGATGAAATTTGTAAGCTTATGAACTTAAGCTTACCAGCACCATGGCCCTGACTCATAACTAGATTTCTCTTAAAAATGTGAAGTTTCTACACCTGAGAGCAATCGTCACATACTGATACAGATTCAAATGAAGGAAGTTAGATCATCCATTTTAGATGAGATCAGGGGCGTCAAACTCGTGGCATCATGTGATGTGTCGTGACTTCCCGTTCTCCCCCCCTCACTACACCGGAGGTAGGCATGGCCAGTGCATGACGTATCCGGCCCATGAATTTGACACCCCTGGACTAGATAGAACTAATTCTTTGCTGCTCACTGGATACTTACTTGGTCATGGGACTCCGCAGCAGTGGATGCCTTGGCACCTTTATCCAAGGTAATGTATCTTCTAGCTTGATTGATGGATTCTTGGGCTGCAACCAACCAATATCTTGTCCACAAGTTAGTGATACCCTGTATTCTTGATTGGGGTCTAGAAAAGAGATTAAGCCTTCTGATTGTTTGGAAAAGGCCTAAACACTGTAGGCAAGGCAAGGTAGGATCTTTAAACAAAACTGCCTTTGACCAAGCCTCTCCCTCCTGCTGTTTGTTATTTAATTACTTTATTCCCTGGAAGCGCAATGGCTATTCTTTCCTGTATTTTGTCAGACTTTCTAAAGCTAGCCTGGAGTCATTAATACTTTCCTAGTACTTAATGTGGTGGTTTCATCTATTTCAAACTGTTGGCTAAGAATTCATATTCAACCTAGTATCTATGGGTAGCTTGAAAAGATGGGAGCCCCTGGTTGACCTTTTCTGGTTTGGAATCTAAGAATAGTCAGGCCTGATTAGTATTTGGATAGGAAACTATCAGAAAATAGGAGGAAGACAATGGTAAACTATTTTCATCCCTCTGTCAGAACTTCATGAATACATCATGAAGTCACCAGGAATTGAGCTCAGGTCAAAGGAGACTTAAAGGCCATTGCAGCTGATTGCTAAATTAATTATTTGATCATCAATTGATTGGAAACTAACATCAATGTGAAGGTTTTTGCTTCTTTTCCATACTACCCAAATAGCTGGCAGTAAATATAGAAAGACCAAGCTACAAGACGGGAGCTGTTGGGACTTGCTCTCATCATCTACTGCAGGAAACCCAGGGAGCACCAGGTTTTCTTCTGGTTCAGTCCACATTGTCTCCTAGCATGCTCTTGAACTGTGCTCACTATTCATGCTGCTGCTCTTAACTATAATATAAATTGTACAATGTATTCCCTTGGGGGAACAGGGACCCAGCAGCCTTCCAGGTATTATGGGGTTCTTTTACCCATGGTCAATATGCTGCATGATCACAAATGATGTGATTAGACGTCCAGTGAATCATAGGTTCTTCTGTTCCTACTGTGAGTATTTCAGCATTTACTGACACTTTGATTTAAACCTGACTCTTGGTGCTTCTTCACCTACATTTCTTGAGCCGCTTCTGTCTGATAGCCTCGTGATATTTCTCATGGCTGCCCTGGTATCCAGTGCCGTCATCATATCCAAATTGTCCAATGGGTGGGAGCTTTGGGTAGAAAAGTTCCAATTTGGGAGGGATTGTTCCCACTGGAGATGGACAGAAAAAAGTGTCACTCCAGAAGAAAGCAATTCCTAGACAAAATTCAGAGCAAGTTGCATAATTTTTTTTACTATTCATAATACTTCAACAGTGTTGCAGTATACAATTCCATTTCTTGTCTGTCAGTCTCGTAATCTAAAATTTCACAACTTTTTCTGAGAGAATGTATATATTTTCTTGATTTCCTTCCACCAGTCCAAATGTGGAAGGAAGCTGTAGTAGGGATAGCAACATATTCACAATGGAAATCTGAAATCTGTGTTGAAGAATGAAATTCATTCACTTTCAGTATTTCAGTGCACCAGTGTATGTATAACTGTGCATATCTTTGTACATTTATTAAATATTAGAATTTCAAAATTGTTATTCCTCGGGGGTCTAGGAACAATAATTTTACCAATATAATTGGATTGATATTTTCTATTGAAAGCCCGCCTTTTAAAACATGTAATGGACATGCAAATTATAGAATAGAATTTTATTATTTGTATGCCGCTCTTCTCCGGGAGGACTCAGGGCGGCGAACAATTCAAAAGGGGAAAAAGAGGAACATAAAAACAAAATACAAATAATAAAAATAGGCAACAGTCGCACAACCATACATGTCGAGAGTGGAGGGAACTCATCACCCCCAGGCCTGCCGGCAAAGCCAGGTTTTGACGGCTTTTCGGAAGGCCTGGAGAGAGGTGAGGGTCTGAATACCTGCGGGGAGTTCATTCCAGAGGGCCGGAGCTGCCACAGAGAAGGCCCTCCCCCGGGTAATAGCCAGATGGCATTGGCTGGTAGATGGCACCCGGAGGAGGCCAACCCTGTGAGATCTAATGGGTCTGTGGGAGGTAATTGGCAGCAGGCGGTCTCTCAAATTATCAAATACTCAGTACTTATGCTCCAAATGTAACGTTTATGTTGATGAATATCTCATAGCAAACAACTGTGGTTTGTTATGGTTCTGGAAATTAATGACACATCGTCTGATTGGAATGTAATAATTTTGTAAATGATGGTTACATGACTTTAAATTTTTGAAATATGCCTAGATATACATGCAGAAAATAGCTCTTAATAAATCCCAAGAAAGAAAGAAGCAAACTTTCTATCTTTATTTAGATAATATCCTTACCTGGCATTTCATATTTTGGTATTGATAATTTTTTATCACGAAAGGGATCCTGAGGACCTAGAAAAGTTAATCCGAAGAAAGCCATTACCTGACTTTTATGTTTCAGTACGTAGGTTAAACTGTATCCAACTGCAATATTCTATTTCCTGGTTTCTGAAGTATGTTTGCTTTGTTACCATGGTGATATACTGCTGAAGTTAGTACATTACCTAAGAGAGCAGTTTGTGATGTCTTAAGGCAACATTAATTTGCTATAACTGAAGAAATTATGTATTTTGGAACCCCATTGTTGAGTCATTAACTTGCACTGATTTGCATACAACATCAAAGGATGAACAAAAATGTTCTTCAACTGACTTAAGGTTGAACTCATTTGTTTTGCTTGTCAGTTGGCAACACCTAGCCAACCTTGGCTGACCCCAGAAAGTTAAGCAAGGTTGGACCTGGTCAGTAATCGGAAGAAAGATTACCAGAAAATTCTAATCATGCAGGCAAGACTAAGCATCCTGGAAAAAGACAGTAGCAGCTAGTTTCCTAATGTTTCATGGTCTGTCTTGAGGCGATCTTTATTTGACTGTATTAAATATCCAATAACCTGAAAGCTGAATCCAATCAGCTTGTTCAGGAGTCTCTGGCGCAATGCTACCGATTACCAAAATCCAATCAATTTTTGCCAAAACCAGCTCCAATCTAGGACTCGGCTGCATGCAGCCATCTTCTAATTCTATCGCAGCAATAACGGCTGCCAAATTTAATCGGAAATCAAGATCTTTGTCCATTGAATTTTAAAAACCTTTTTAAGAGCCAAAAGGTTGCAAAATAATCAGTGAGTTCTCATCCAGAAAATGTTATGGGGCTGCATGTTAAGCAAAGCGTAGAGAATAGGGAAGTTGGAAGCAGAAAAAAATCCAGCTGAATATTATAACCACGGTCTTGTTTACTCCCCTCCCCCCCCCCCTTTCGTACTTCCAGGACTCAAAAACAATAGTCAAGAAAAGCCTGATCCCCTACAAATGAAGCGGGGAAGCCAAAACCGGAAGCTCGCTGTGCAGCTTCCGCCCCCCGCTTCGTGCTGGGGAGGAAGTGCGCGCGCGGCGGCGGATTTAGACGCGATCACGTGAACGCTGGCCGGCGCGTGCGTGCCTTCTCCGGCGCATGCGCTGTGGTCGACGGCGACGACGGCCATCATGGCGGTATCTAGCGCGGCGGCTGCGGGAGGTGGTAGACGCTGGTATTTCACCCGAGAGCAGCTCGCTCGGAGTCCTTCCTGGCGCTTAGGACTCGACCCGGACAAGGAGTTATCGTACCGGCAGCAGGCAGCTAACCTGCTTCAGGATATGGGCCAGCGCCTCAACGTGTATCCCTTCGGCAACTAGGCCGCGCCTCAAGATGGGATTGGGCTGGGCAGGGTTACGGAAAGAGGACTGGGCCCGCCGGAGATTCGCGTCAATGACTTTGGGTGCCTGTTAGATTTAGGCGAACGGGGAACGGGAGGCTGGGGTGGGGTTTCGTAGCGTTAAGAGGGACATGTATTGCGGTCGTTGCTTCTGTACGCGGGGAAGTGTTTATATGGCTGGGGCGCCTTAGGCCGTCTCCTCGAAGGAGCTTGATTTGGAACTGCTAAACAGATTAGGTTTGCTCGGTGGTTGGGAGATGTTAAACCCACATGTTGTGCATTGTGTTGGGACGCTGTTACGGTTTAGGCTGAAGGGTAGGCTCTGAAGTGGGTCCTAAACTGATTTGCAAAAGCACAGGACGACAGTTGGTAACAGGTTACTAGGAGAGGTATTCTTCTGGCGTGTTGCAATATTTGGATGATACGTAATTTTGAAATTTGATAATATTTGTGGATGGGAGAAAAAGTGAACCACCGCCATCACCCTGTGTTTGATTTGAACATTAATTTTGAGCCTCAATTTTTTCCAGCCCTATTGATATTTAACATTTTGGCTGAATAAATACTGAAGTCCTTAATAAAGTTTAGTGGATCTTTTTTAAAGATGTAATTTAGCAGGCTTAATGTGAAAATATTTGCAGTATATATATATATATATATATATATATATATATATAATTTTTTTTGCTGATAAATAAATGAAGGGAGACTAGTATAGATCTATTTCAAACTATTTAGCTCT